GACACACTCTGCTCCCAGCTCTTCTTTCTTGGTAGTAGTAGGTCCCTCTCCTCTCTGCTTGATTCTCTCTTTTATATCTCAAAAGAAATTGACTCAAAATACAACTTAATCCTATGGATTGTGTCCTGCCTTATTAACATAACTACCTCTAATCCTGCTTCATTAACATCATAGAGATTAGGATTTACAACACATAGGATAATCATGTTAGATCACAAAATGGTGGACAACCACACAATACTGGGAATCATGGCCTAGCCAAGGTGACACACATTTTTGGGGGACAAAATTCAATCCATGACACCATATGACCCAGCAATTTCACTCCTGAGTATATACCCCAAAAGAGCAGGGCCTTAAGCAGGTACTTGTACACCAATGTTCGTTGCATCATTATTCTCAACAGCAAAAAGTGGGAAACAGTCAAGTGTCCATCAACAGATGTATGGCTAAACAAAATGTGGTATATATATATACACATACATACAATGGAATATTATTTTGCCATAAAAAAGGAATGGAGTTCTAATGCATGCTATGACATGGCTGAATTTTGAAAACTTATGCTAAGTGAAATAAGTCAGATGCAAAAGGACAAATATTGTATGATTCCATTTACATAAAATATCTAGAAAAGACAAATGCATAGAAACAGAGGCTGATTGGTGGTTACCATGGGCTGGGAGAAGGAGATGGGGAGTTATTGCTTAATGCGTACAGAGTTTCTGTTTGGAGAAAAGTTTTGGAAACAAATAGTGGTGAAGGTTTCATGACATTGTAAGTGGGATTAATACCAATGGCTTGTAACACTTGAAATTGGTTAAAATGGCAAATTTTATGTTGTGTATATTTTAATTACAATTTTTAAAAATGATTGTTTAAAGTAAAAGTAATAATGTTTTGTGAGGTTCATAATATGTGTAGAAGTAAAATATATGACAACAATAGGCTATTGTATTCAACTATTAGAAACATACTGTCATAGTTTCTTTTGCTCTACATGAGGTAGTATAATACTGCCTCACGGTAAACTGGGATAAGTAAAGGATATATACTATAAACCCTAAAGCAACCACGTTAAAATTATAGGTTATAAATCAACAAAGAAGATAAAATGGAATCATAAAACATACCCAAATAATCCAGAGAAGGCAGAAAAAAGAAAGGGCAACAAAGGATAGATAAGACAAATAAAAATAGCATGATAGTTGACTTAAATTCAAACATATAATCACATAAACATAAATACTCTAAAAATCTCAATTAAAATGCAGAGATTGTCAGAAATTATTTTAAAAAGCAAGGCCTAATTATGTGCTGCTTAAAAGAAACCAACTTTAAATAGACAGACGCAAATAGGCTAAAGGGATGAGAAAAGGTCTACCATGCAAACACTAATCCAAAGAAAGGAGAGTGGACATGACTAACATAATTAATGTCACTGAACTGTACATGCGAAGATTGCTGAAATGTCAAATGTTTTGTTACTTATATATTTGCCACAATAAAAAATATTTTTTTTAAAAAGGAAAGAAAGCAGGAACGGCTACATTAATATCAGACAAAGTAGATTATTGAGCAAAGAATATTACCAGGGTTAAAGAAGGTTGTTTCATAATGATAAAGGGGTCAAATCAGCAAGAGGACTTAAGAATCCAAAAGCTTTATGCATTTAATATCAGAGCTTCAGACTACATGAAGCAAGATAGAAATGCAAAGATAAATAGATAAATTCATCACTATAATCATCGATTCAAGCATCACTTTCTCAGTAATTGATTACACAATAAACAAAAGATCAATAAAGACACAGAACACCTAAACAGTACTATCAGTCAACATAACCTAATTGGTATTTAAAGAACGCTCACCTTAGGAGAGCACACATTCTTTTAAAGTGCACATGGAACATTTACCACTCAAGTCATACAATATATGTTCTCTGACAAAAAAGAAATTAAATTTGAAACAAATACCAAAAAGATATAAGGAAAATCCCCCCAAATATTTGGAAATAAACAGAACACATTTAAATAACACACAGGCCAAAAAAGGAATAATAAGAACAGTTATAAACTATTTTTAACTGAATGAAAATGAAAACACAACGTATCAAAATTTGGAGGCTGCAGCTAAAGCAGTACTGGGGAAAATGTATACTTCTAATGCCTATATTAGAAAACAAGAAAGGCTTCAAATCAATTATGTCAATCTCCCCATTAAAGAAACTAGAAAAAGAAGAGCAAATGAAACCCCAAGTTCACTCAAAAATAATATATAAGCCAGAATAGACTTATATCTATAAAAGAAATTGAATGTGTAGTCAAAAATCTTCCCTGAAAGAAAACTCAAGACCTCAGTGATTTCACTGGTAAACAAACCAAACATATAAAGAAAAAATAATATTAACTCTACACAAACTTTCTCAGAAAATTGGAGGAGAGAGAGTATTTTCCAACTCATTCAATGAAGCCAGAGTTACTCTGATACTCAAATCAGACAAAGACAAGACAAGAAAACTACAGACTAATATCCCTCATGCACATACATGCAAAAGAAGTAAAACAACTATCTTTATCTGAAGGTGGCCTGATAACTTATACAGGAAATCCTAAGGAATCTTTGAAAAAAAGCTAATAGAATATATGAGTTTAGCAAGGTTTCAGGATATAAGCTGAAACTCGTTGCTGCTGAGTCAATTCCAACTCATAGCAACACTGTAGTACAGAGTAGAATCTTTATGGAAGCAGACTACCACATCTTTCTCCCATGTGGAGAGGCTGGTGAGTTCGAACCGCCGAACTTTTGGTTAGCAGCTGGGCACTTAACTGCTGCGCCACGAGGGTTCCTTCAGGATACAAGGCTTCTACACAAATATCAATTGTATTTTATACTCTAGCAAGGAATAATCAGAAATTGAAATTTTAAAAGCAATATCATTTAAGACAACATCCAAAAAAACATGAAATACTTAGGACTAAGTTTGACAAAAGATGTATAAAATCTCTACACAACATTGCTGAAAGAATTAAAGAAGACCTAACTAAATAGTGAGATATACCATTTTCATGAATTGTAAAGATTCAGTGTTGTTAATATGTCAATTCCAAATTGATTTATAGATTCAATGCAATCCCAAACAAAACCCCACTAGATTTTTCACAAAAATCGATAAGTTGATAATTAAAATTTATTTGAAAATGCAAAGAACCTAAAATAGCCAGAACATCTTTTAAAAGAACAATAAAGTCGGATGATTTGTAATACTTATTTTCAAGACTTATAAAGCTACAGTAATTGAGGCAATGTGGTAGTAAATACAGACAAATATAAATGGAACAAAATACAGAGTCCGGAAATAGACCCATACAAATATTGTGTATTGATTTTCAAATTTTCCAAAATTAATCAATGGAGAAAGGATAATCTTTTTAACAAATGGTGCTGGAATAACTGGATAGCCATGTGCAAATATATGAATCACAAGCCTCATTTCACACCACATATAAAAATGGATCATAGACCTAAATACAAGAGATAAAACCGTAAAACTTCTAGGAGAATCTTAGTTATCTTAGGTTTGGAAACGATTTCTTAAATATGAAAAAATAAGCATGAAGTATAAAAGAAAAATAAATAAATTGGACTTCATCAAAATGAAAAACTTTAGCTCTTCAAAAAACACTGTTAAGAAAATGAAAAAACCAAGGACTGGGAGAAAATATTTGCAAAGCATAAATCTGACAAAAAAAAGTACTACCCTATAACACAAACATATATAACCTAATTTTTAAAAAGGGCAAAAAGTCTGAACAGACACCTTACCAAAGAAGACGTATGGATGGCAAATGAGCAAATTAAAAGATGCTCCACGTCATTAGGGGATAAGGAAATACAAATTAAAATCATAGCAAGATATAACTATAATCTCACTAAAATGGCCAAAAATAAAAGTGCTGGGGAGAAGGTAGAGAAAGCAGAATTCTAACATGCTCTTGGTGAGAATCTACAAAGGTACAATTACTCTGGAAAGCAGCTGGGCAGTTTCTTAAAAAGTTAAACATATACCTGCCATATAACCCAGCCATTCCACTCCTAGGCATTTACACAAGAGAAATGAAAGCATATGGGCATACAACAACTTGTACACAAATGTTCACAGCAGAGTTTTGTCTTTAATAGCCAAATATTAAAAACCAAATGTCCAGCACTAGGTGAGTGGGTAAATAAACAATGGCACACTACTCAGAAACAAAAAATACTAACTGTTTGATACATGCAACAACATGGATGAATCTCAGAATAATTATGTTGAGTGAAAGAAGCCTGGTAAAAAAAGTACATACTAAATTTATATATGGAATAAAATGCAAACTAAGATACAGTGACAAAAAGCCAATTAATAGTTGCCTGGAGATGGAAGGGACCTAAGGAAGGTTTTACAAAAGGATTCAGCATAGTTTTACTCCATCATTATCAGAAGGAGAATCTAGGTGTTTTGTTTTTCTTTTTTCTTTTTGTTTTTTAAATGATTAAGACTCCTAGGTGGTGCAAATGATTTGCACTGGACTGCTAAGCTAAAGGTGGCTGGTTTGAGCCCGCACAGCAGTATCTCAGAAGAAAAGGCCTGTGATCTGCTTCTGTTAAGATTAAGCCAAGAAAACCCTACCCCATAATACATGGGGTCACCATGAGTCAGAATCGACTCAGCAACAACTAACGACAATAATGTAGGAAACTTTTGGTGATGGATTTGTTCATTTTCTTGATTGTGATGAGTTTCACAGTTATACATACGTGTGTGTGTGTGTGTCAGTTGCACCCTTTAAATAGTGCAGTTTATTGTATGTCAATTATATCTTGGAAAGCTACACAAATTTAATTTCTAAAAAAATTTGGGAGTGGGCCAATACCATCATTATGTCCCATCCTTAAATTCTCTTTGACCACAATGGGTCTTAGTAGGATTTAACAAATAGTAAAGAGAATACAATACTTACTTGAGAAAATCTGTCTCTCTTTGAATTCTCATGATCTCTGTGCTTGTCAAACTCTTCTGGCCAGTTATGTGTGCAAAACGAGAGAACTGAAAATAAGAATATATATATATAAATATATATACTTAAAGACAAATCAATACAACACGGTAAAGACTATGGTACAGTAAAATTCCATTAAAAATTCATTGTAATGTTTTGTCTTATCATATCTAGCATCCATCTTACAGAAACCGTGATGGTGAAGGTTATAAATGATTGTTACCCTAAAGGTCAACATTTAAGAAATTAAAGTGGTATCATAATTAGTTTTGTATATTTCATTAAATAGTCTCCGGCTGGCATAAATGGTTAAGCACTTAACTACTAGCCAAAGATTGGTGCTTTGAACCAGTCCAGAGGCCCCTTGGAAGACTGGCTGGGCAATCTGCTTCCAAAAGATCACAGCCTTGAAAACCCTAAGGAGCAGTTCTACTCTGCACACATGGGCTTGCTATGAGCCAGAATCAGCTGTATGGCAACTAACAACAACATTTCATTAAATACAAGAGTTTACAATAAAATATACCTGGATTTATCACCAGACAGATCAGATATCAGAATGAAAATCCTAAATTAGCAACCATTTTTCTCAAAGACTATACCCCCAGGAAACTCAAAAGGACATTCGCCTGTAAGAAAATAAGCAGCAATTGTCTGCTGTTGCCTAGAAACATTTAACTCACTTTGATAAACTTTTATTTGAGCAACCACTACGTACCAGGCACTGTACTTGATGCAGGGATGGGGACAAAGATTAAGTATTACATGATCCCTGCCCTCAAGGGCTAAACTCTTGTATATACAAAATAACTGAAATAAAATGGAATAAATATTGCAGCAAAGTTGTGGTGAGTCCCTTAGGAACCTAGAGGAGGAATAATGACATTTACTCGCTCAAGGGAGAAGGGCTTCCCAAGGAGACAATATCTGAGCCAGGCCTTTAAGAGTAAAGAGAAGTTTGTTCAGGGACAGAAGAAGGGGAATTCCAAGTAGAGGAAACACACTTGCAAAGGCACAGAGGCAGGGCTATGCATGGTGTCTTCTGGGACTGAAGAGTGGTTTGATGTGATCTACAGGTCTGATCCACAGAAGAATGAGGTGAGAAGGGAAGGTTGGAGAAAGAATGTGAAGGGGAAAAGCTAACACTTATGGAGGGCCTAATGTGCCTGGCATTTGTAACCCTAACATTTCACAGTGACCCTGTGAGGCAGATAATATTATTTTCATTTTATTCTAGTTTGTAACATTTTGTTTTGATATAATTTCAAATTTATAGAAAAGTTGCAAGGATGGTATAAATAACTTCTGTATATCCCACTTGATCATTTATTATTTACATTGACATTCTGCTCCATTTCCTTTATCAATCTCTAAGTCCCCCTGAATCATGTGAGAGTAAGTTGCAGTCACAACGTCCTTAACCACTAAATACTTCGGTGTGATTTCCTAAGAAAAAAGATGTTCTCTTACATAACAGTAAAATTATCATAATCATGGAAGCTAACATTGACCCAATCCTATTATCTAATCTACACAGCTTCTTCAAATCTTACCAACTGTTCAAACAATGTCCTTTAGAACTACATATAAGATCCAGTCTAGTACCACACTTTGCACTTAGTTGCCATGTTTCTTTTGTCTCCTTTAACCTGGAATAGTTCCTCAGTCTTTTTTTTATTTTTCATGTCCTTGATAGGCCAGTTATTTTGTAGGATCACTCTTTTTTCCTCCCAAATGTCTATAATTTTATGGAAGTAGATTGCCAGGCCTTTCTTCCACAGCAGTACTATGTGGATTCAAACCACTGACCTTTCAGTTAGTAGTCAAATGCAAACCATTTGCACCACCTAGGGACCTTTGTAGGATCTCTTTTGATTTGATTTTGCCCGATGTTCTCTAGTGATTATACCCCATGCATTTTGACATGAAGAGCAGAGAAATGATGTTGTGTCTGTCTCAGTGTATCATATTAAGGCATGTATAATTCCTATTTTTGTGATGAGGATGCTGAGGCTCAAAAAACTTGAGTTATTTGGTTGAGGTCACATCAATAATAAGTAGATTTTCCCAATCAAAATTCCAACAGCATTCTTTACAGAAATGGAAACCTATCCTCAACTTTATATGGAATGACAAGAGGCCCTGAATAGCAAAAGCAATGTTGAAAGAGAAGAACAAAGTAGGAGGACTCACACTTCCCAATTTTACAACATACTATACAGCTACAGTAATCAAAACAGCCTCGTACTGGTATAACAATAGACACACAGACGAATGGAATAGAACTGACAGTCCAGAAATAAACCAACACATCTATGGTCAACTGATTTTTGACAAGGGTGCTAAGTCCATTCAATGGGGAAAAAAGAGTCTCTTCAATAGATAGTGTTGGGAAAACTGGATTTCCACACGCAGAAAAACGAAATAGAATCCATGTCTCATACGACACACAAAAACAAACTCAAAAAGGATTAAGGACCTAAACGTGAAAACTGAAACCATAAAATCCTTAGAAGAAAATGCAGGGGCCACATTGTCAGGCCTAGCATTTAACAATGGATTATCGAATAACAATAACACAAACAGTAAAAGACAAAATAAACACATGGGCTCTCATAAAAATTAAAAACTTTTCTTCATCAAAAGACTTTACCAGAAACTGAACAAAGACATAGATCAAAGGCCACAATCAGCAGACTTGAACTCATAGACATATATAGAACACTCCACCCAACAGCTGCAAAGAATACATTCTTTTCCAATGCACATGGAAAGCTCTCCAGAATAGACCACATGTTAGGCCACAAAGCAACCTCAACAAAATCCAAAACACTGAGATAATACAAAGTATCTTCTCGGACCACAACACCATCAAAGTAGAAATTAACAACAGGAAGAGCATGGAAAAAATCAATTACATGGAAACTGAGAAACACTCTGCTTAAAAACCACTGGGTAATAGAAGAAATCAAAGATGGAATAAAAAAATTCCTAGAATCAAAGGAGAATGAAAACACATCATACCAAAACCTTTGGGACACACCAAAGGCAGTGCTCAGAGGTCAATTTATAGCAATAGATGCACACATCAAAAAAGAAGAAAGGGACAAAATCAAAACATTAGCTACACAGCTCAAACAAATAGAAAGAGAACAGCAAAAGAAGCCCACAGCCACCAGAAGAAAGGAAATAATAAAGATCAGAGCAGAAATAAACGAAATAGAGAATAGAAAAACAATAGAAAGAATTAACAAAACCAAACGTTGGTTCTTTGAGAGGATCAACAAAATCAACAAACCACTGGCCAAACTGACAAAAGAAAAACTGAGGAGGACACAAATAACCCAAATAAGAAATGAAACGGGGGACACTACAACAGACCCAACTGAAATAAAAAGGATCATAACACAGTATTATAAAAAACTACACTCTAACAAATTTGAAATCCTAGAGAAAATGGACAAATTTCTAGAAACATACTACCTACCCCAAATAACACAAAATGATGTTGAAAATCTGAATAGATCATAACAAGACAGGAGACTGAAAAGGTAATAAAAAAAACTCCCAATAAAAAAAAACCCCGGCCCAGATGGCTTCGTTAGAGAATTCTACCAAAAATTCAGAGAAGAGCTTACATGAGTACTACTCAAACTATTTCAGAACACAGAAAAGGAAGGGATACTTCCAAAGTCATTCTATGAAGCCAGCATAACCCTGATACCAAAACCAGGCAAAGACACCACAAAAAAAAAAAATTACAGACCGCTATCTCTCATGAAGATAGAGGCAAAAATTCTCAACAAAATCCTAGCCAATAGAATTCAGTATCATATCAAAAAAATAATACACCACGACCAAGTAGAATTCATACCAGGTATGCGAGGATGGTTCAATATTAGAAAATCAATCAACCTAATCCACCAAAAAAAATTAAATAAAAGAACCACTTGATCATCTCAATCGATGCAGAAAAGGCATTCGACAAAGTCCAACACCCATTCCTGATAAGCACTCTCAATAAAAGAGAGAAGTATAGAAGGGAAATTCCTCAACATAATAAAGGCCATCTATACAAAACCAACAGCCAGCATCATTCTTAATGGAGAGAGGCTGAAAACATTCTGCCTGAGAACAGGAACACAAGAATGCCCTTCATCACCACTCTTATTTAACATTGTGCTGGAAATCCTAGCTAGAGCAATAAGGCAAGAAAAAGAAATAAAGGGCATCCAAATTGGTAATGAAGAAGTAAACCTGTCCCTATTTGCAGATGATATGATACTATATTTAGAAAACTCAAAAGACTCCATGAAAAAACTACTGGAACTGATAGAAAGATTCAGCAGACTAGCAGGATACAAGATAAAGATAAAAATCAGGTGGATTCCTATACACCAATAAAGAGAATGATGAAAAAGAAATCAGCAAATCAATACCATTTATAATAGCCCCTAAAAAAGTAAAATACTTAGGAATAAATCTAACCAGGGATGTAAAAGACCTATACAAAGAAAACTACAAACCACTACTGCAATAAATCAAAAGAGATCTACATAAATGGAAAAGCATACCATGCTCATGGCTAGGTAGACTCAACATTGTGAAAATGTCAGTTCTACCCAAAGCAATTTACAAATACAATGTAATTCATGATCCAAATACCAACAACATTCTTTAAAGAGATGGAAAAACTAATCATTAACTTTATATGGAATGGGAAGAGGCCCCAGACAAGCAAAGCACTATTGAAGAAGAATAACGAAGGAGGACTCGCAGTAGCTGACCTCAGAACCTACCATACAGCTACGGTAGTCAAAACAGCCTGGTACTGGTACGATGATAGATACATCGACCAATGGAAGAGAATTGAGAACCCAGATGTAAATCCATCCACCTACTGTCACCTGATCTTTGACAAGGGCCCAGAGTCCATTAAATGGGGGGAAAAGACAGTCTCTTTAACAAATGGTGCTGGCAAAACTGGATGTCCATCTGCAAAAAAATGAAACAGGACCCACACGTCACACCATACACAAAAAGTAAA